TACATTCCAGAAATCAATTTTATATAAATACACTAGAGATACATAAATATCTTTATATACACACATACATATGTATGTATGTTTGTAGTCCTATAAATTGTGTGTATATATATATATATATGACCCAATTAAATATGCTACCATGTGAAATTCCGATTTTCACCGGTACCATGACCTATGCAGTTGACATATATATAATACAACAACACCAACATTAGCAGCAACAACAAAAACGCTTACAACTCCTACATAAACGTAATACAACACGAATACTCACTTCCAACAAATCCCCTTCGTGCCACACCTACCGCTTACCGTCGCTCGGCTCACACGCGGCCATAACTCAGCATTCACCTCGTCTTTTTTTTTTTTTTTTTTTTTTTTTTTTTTTTTTTTNTTTTTGTTTTTTTTTTTGTTTTTTTTTTGGAAAATTGGCGGCACAATTCAAATTGGATTAACCGATGTAAGCATGCGAAATTTACAAACAAATATATATACATACATATACGAGTATATATGTATGTATGTGTGTAAATGCGCTATCTATCTACGTATACAAGATGTGCCGACAATTGCCGAATGCCAATGAAAGTATCTATGGTCATGTGGTATGAAATGTGCAATGTTGCTACTCTAACTATCTATTGTTGTTATTTGCCATTGTTGTTATTTGCCATTGTTGTTGTTGTTGGTTGATACCGAAAGTGATAGTGATAGTGAGCGAGTGAATGAGTGAGCGGTGTTGGTATTAGCTAATAATAATTGCGCGCTGAGGCAACAACTCAATCGACGGCCCGCGGCAAACGGCAAGCGGTAAGCGGCTAGTGACTAGCAAGTCAAGCTCCTCAAACCCAAGCGCTTTTCTCCAAATGCTTTCGTTGCCAACGTCGTTCGCTGGCGCACTGGTGTGACGATGCGACGAACGAACGAACCAACAATCCAACAATGCGGCGTTACGGCATTAGATATTTTGCTTCGTGCATTTGTAGCTCGGCCTTTATGTGGTGGTGTCCCAGTTTCCATACTGTCCTTGACCTACTCCACTCGAAACGAGAAAACGAAAATGAAAATTGAAATGAAAAACGCGAAAAAAACACTCCACACAGCAATGCTTCGCTCTATGGCAGTCGTAATCAGCGTAAACGTTTGTTGGCGCTGCTTTTTACTCGCCACCGTACAGCATAGGATAGTTGGCACTCATAGCTCATCGCTTGGCGTCCGTTGCTGCAGACGTTTTTACTTTGCTGTTGTTTCTAATGCTTAAGGCATCCCTCATGAGCTCCACGTACAACGACCATTGATTGCTTGCTAACTCTTTTTTAAGCAGCTGCATTTTGAGAGCGCTGAGTTGTGTACTTCTCCAAATGTGAACATGTAGATGCGCTGCATGAGTGCCGCTGAGAGTTGCGATTTGGTTTTTGTAATGCGCGCGCACTCTCTCTCGTACGTACATGTTTTATACACTCATTCATACATACATATTGCGCCATCAATTGAAGTTTGGTCAAAAGTTTTCTTTTTTTCTTTTTCTTATTTTAGCTTCCTTAGAGATTTTCAGTGGCGCGTCACACGAGCGGCATTAGAAAAGCTTTGGAGCGCCAGCCGCGTGATTCGCTCAATTTATGGAGTTAGTTGCGCGCTTGACGTTAAAGCAAAGCGCTACAATTTACCGCGCGGCCGGCAGTAGCGGCGACGCGTTCCTAAAATTGCTGCTTGCCGCGCGCGCAAACACAAACACACACACGCAAGCATGCTCGCGCGCTCGCTATATTATGTCAGCTTAGCTTTTTAAATCATATGCCGCTTGTTTGTGACGCTCACAAATACACGCGCGCTCTTCCGCTACTTTTTTCGTCTCTCAAAATGCTTGGCGCGCGCTGCATATGTGCGAGTGTGTGCTTTTCGTTTTCGCTTTCAATGGTTCATTTCCGTGGATGTGTATGTTTCTCTATATATACATATATATATATATTTGGAATACACGTGCAGCGGTGTATGTGTGCATATACATATATATGGAATATTTGTAAACAATATGCTTGACCTAAATTACACAGTTTCTTGTTTGAGTGAAAAAGAAATACGAAATATATATGTATAGGAACGAACGAACGAACGAACGAACGAATAAGCAAGAACGGTAAAGGAAAAAGACGAAATAAAAATTAAAAAACGAAAAAAACGTCCAACTAAAATGAGTAGAAGTAAAAAGTCTTATTTCCACAGCTTTTTAGTTTTATTTTTATTTATTTTTTTGTTTTTTTTTGTATTATTATTACTATTTTTTTTTAAGTTTCTGAAACCCAGTTCTTGTCGTTCGTTGGGTGGCGGCGCTGGTTGGGTTGCGCTTTGCCTGACAGCAGGCCATCCATGCTCCCTCTCAACACAGCACAGCCGCTAAGTGCAGTTTTAGACTGCAATCGCGTTTGCATCATCATGGAATGGTGTCACCTACACTTCACCCCCTTGCCTCTCGCCGAAGTAAAATCACCCTCACTTTTACATTTATGTACATTTACATTTAATGCAGTTGGTTTTGCCTGATTATATTCTGTTTGTTTGTTTGTATGTATGTATGTATGTTTGTGTGCATGTATGTGAGTATTTTGTTGTCCTTATTTCGCAAAAAAGCGGGCCAAATGCATTAAAATGGGCGAATAAATATATGCTATATGGCACATTTGCATATTATTGAAATATATTCTACGTATTACATTGATATTAACGTGTGTGTGTGTGTGTTTATATATCTGCTTGAGGCGAAATGTTGAAGCGATTGTAATTATTTAATTAAATCGAAATTCAGCAAAAAATAATTGAAATAAAATTTTGATAATTTTTCGTACTAAAATTGCCAGGTGTTTTTTCTCTGAATTTTGCACTTTTTATTACAATATAATATAAAATTTTGCATAATTTCAGGCGCATTACCGTTATTACATAACAACAGATTTTAATATTATATAAAAAAATACACTAATGGAAAATTTGCACTAATTTTTCCAAATTTTTGAGTGCTACCTAAGCACATAATAAATTAAAAAAAAAAATTGGGAAGTGAACATTTTTTTTAAATATTTTTCGAAAATATTAATGCTATTTATAATTAAAATTACAAACCGCTATCAAAAAAAAATTTGATATAAAATATATTTGTTTTTAGGCATTGCATAATTTTAGGCGTTTAATAATCAAAACAGATTTCAATATTAAACAAATAGTTTAAAATGAACAAATTTTAAATATTTGTAATTTTTCCATAGCAATAAAGTATATTTTATGAGATAAAAGTTATAACACAGACGAAGAGCAGTGGAAAAAATTATGCTACTACTTGTTTTTTGAAAAATTTTAAAAAGAAAATGAAAACAAATATATATATATATATATTTAAATTTTTGGTATTTTAGCGACATTATTAATTAAAATTACTAGCTAGTAATTTTTAGTTGAAATTTGTCATCTGCAAGGCTGGATACTAATGAAACGTTTTGCATAATTTCGGGCGCTTAACTGAAATAAAAAACAATAGAAAAAGCATACAGTAACTAAATCAAACAAATAGTATTAAGAAAATTTTTTCTTTTAAATTCTAGTGATCTTTTTGGCGTACATAAGAGTTATATTTTGAATTAAAATAATCAGCTGCTATTTTCCAAATTTTATAAACTCGCACATATTTTCGGGTATTGCATAATTTTAGGCGCTATTATTCATAGGCTCAATTGTAGTATGACAGGAGTATTCATGGCCCAAAATCTCATCTCGAATCAGACAAATTTTAAGATAGTGCATAATTTCGGGCGCTTAATAAAGATGCCTTTAATGAAGATGCCTTTTTTAAATTTATTTGACCTAAATCGAGAACCTCTTAAAGCTATGTAAAAAATAATCAAATATTTCTTTTTTAATTCGTATAAAAAATTTCATTATATTAAAATTATTAAAATATTTATAATAAAAGTTGGGTTCCAAAGATGAATTTTCGCAAATGAAATCTAGGTCGATAGATTGGTTTTATACTCGCTTTTAAGTTTTTTTTTTTTTTTTGAAATTTTGATAAGCTAATATATACATTTAACATTTGTATAATCTTGATATTTTTCATTATTCAAATTAAAAATTTCGAATATTTCAAAAGTATAAAAATTTTTGAATGCAACAAGTTTTTTTCAGAATCCTTTTTTGCTTGTTTTATGTAATTTTCATTTCATCTACGAGCAAAGTATTAAGAGATACTTTTTTTTGAGTAACTTAAGCATTTCCCTGAAAAACAAATTAAAAGCTGTCAAAAATGATTATAAAAAAAAATCATTTTTCTCAAAAACATTCTTATCACAGGAAATATTCTTGCTTGATTTTTTCCGAATTACCTTTTTATATAACTAAAAAAATGTTTTCAGATTCGTATATATAAAAATTTTATACATATTTATTATATTATTATTATTCCACAAGTCGTCTCATATATTGACGCAGGAAATTGAATTTTATAAAACCTAACCTCAAATTTCTAAAGAGTTAACACTTTAGGATGAAAATAATCATAAATTGCTCACAAAATACCAACTGTGTACGCGCATACTTTCTTTCTTTTTCTCTCCTTCTCTCTCTCCTTCTCTCTCTCCTTCTCTCTCCCCCCTCTCTCTGCCTCATTCTCTCTGTCTATATCTTCGTTGCAAAGTTAGCAAATTGGATTTTTAAGAGATTTTAAAATGAGAGCTCTAAAAGTCCTTAGCTGATAGGTATTTAAACTGTAATTACAGCACTTTTTTCGGGAACATTTTAATTTGAGAGGTCAAAAATTCAACCACTAAAAGAGATCAAGAACCTAACCTATAATATTTAATATTTAATAACATATTTCAATATGCCTATCTGAAATACCCTTTCCATACATGTATATATGTTGATAACATTTATTATTAATTTTAACATTTTTTACATATATCTTAATTCAACAATTTCTTTTTTTCTCTCTCTCTCTCTCTTTTTTTCAGCTGTTCGAGCGGATCGAATGCGTGGTGGACGTAATAAATTTGGGCCTATGTACAAACGTGATCGGGCGCGAAAATTACAAGTGATGCGACAACGCCAACTCGCTTTGCAAGCGCTACGCACATCAATTGGTTCGGTTGAGATGAAAAACTCACCACTCTCACCAGGATACCAACAAGCATATCCGAATATGAATATAAAGCAAGAAATACAAATACCTCAGGTAAATATTTAAATTGGGCAAATGCAAAAATATATATAAAAACTAAATGAAATATTAATAATGAAAAATGTGCCGTTTTATTTATTATTTACATTTCCCCCTCTCTCTTCCGCAGGTGTCCTCACTCACACAATCACCAGATTCATCACCCAGCCCCATAGCCATTGCGCTCGGACAGGTCAATACGAGTGGTGGTGTGATAACGACGCCAATGAATGGTGGCAATGGTAGTGGTGGCGGCGGCGGCAGCGGCGGTGGAGGCACAGGTGGTGGTGGTGGTGGTGGCGGCAGTGGCAATGGTGTCAATGCCGGTGCCAATAATAATAATAATAGCAACAACACCAGCGATGGACTCAACCGCAGTAGCAGTGGCAATTGTCATGACACTGGAACTGGATCTCTGCAGAATGCGTCCGAATCGAAATTGTGGTATGCAAATCATGCTATAATGATCTCTTTAATGTTGTGTGTTTGCATAAAAACTTCATAATTTCATATCTTTCTATCATATACATATGCAATATCTCCATTTACTTAACTTGATTGAGCGGTGATAGGACGATTTTTATTAAAATCGAAAATAAAGAGGAAAAAAATAGTAAGCAGTTGAATTGATATTGTGAGGTACCGCTGGGGGGTTTACTTGAGAAAATGAGAAACTAGTGTAGATAGTTAAAAACTTATATGAAATTTAAATAATTTAAAGCGTTCGGAAAAAGTTTATTTAATATGACATAATTTAATAAAAATTTCATTATTTTTCAATTTATTTTCCAGTTCTTTTTATTTTCCCAATGTTATTTATTTTTATATTATTTCATTTAATATTCTTTATTTAATTTGGGCTTATATTATATACTTTTTTTTATTTTATTTGCTTTAATTTTAATTTTTATTATTTTATTTTATTTTATTTCATTTTTTTGATTTCAGTTCATTTTACTTTCACTTACTTTTTAAAGTGCATTATTTTATTCTATTTTTATTATTATTTTTTTTAATTTAATTTGTTTCATTTTATTTAAGTTGATTTAATTTTCATTTATTTAATTTATTTTTATATTATTTTATTATAAATTTTTTAATTACTTATTTTTTATTATTTTATTTTAACTCGTTTTATTTATTTCAATTTGTGTTGTTTTATTAATATATTCTTTTATTTCATTATATTTCATTTGAGCTCATTTTACTTTCCCTTAATTTTCATTATTATTTTTTTTATTGTATTATTTTATTCCGATTTTATTTGTTTTTTTTTTTAATTTAATCTATTTAATTTTATAAATTTTTTTTTTGTTCATTTATTTAGTTTATTTTTATATTATTTTATTTAGGTTTTTCATTTATTTAATTTATTGATATTATTTTATTTTATTTATTTATTTTTATATTGTTATATTTATTTAAGTTCATTATGCTTTCGCTTATTTTTTTATTACATTATGTTATTCAATTTTTTTAATTTTTGATTTAATTTATTTAAAACTATTTTATTTTCACTTATTTAATTTATTTTTATATTACTTTATTTTATTCCATTTTTTATTTAATTTAATTTATATTTATAATGTTATATATTTTGGGATGGTGAAAAAATATACAACAACCGTTTGAAGGATTTGGACCGCGTTTACCTCATCAGATTTCTTTCTCTAGTCACCCTTATTAGAATTGGATCCGAACTTGGGATGCCCACAGCCAATAGTTATCGCATTGAGCTACATACACATTCATATTTGTCCCTTTCATTTATTGTTGTTTTTCATCTTTTTTCTTTTCCCTACATATCCACCCTCAACTGCTCAGATATTCTGTAGCCGTAAACTTGTAGTTGTTTTTGTGAACTACTTACTAACAAATATTTTATGGCAGCGACTTTATTAGTATTAGATAATTTCGTTCGAACAGAATTTTTCAGCTGTTCGAGCGGATCGAATGCGTGGTGGACGTAATAAATTTGGGCCTATGTACAAACGTGATCGGGCGCGAAAATTACAAGTGATGCGACAACGCCAACTCGCTTTGCAAGCGCTACGCACATCAATTGGTTCGGTTGAGATGAAAAACTCACCACTCTCACCAGGATACCAACAAGCATATCCGAATATGAATATAAAGCAAGAAATACAAATACCTCAGGTAAATTTTTAAATTGGGCAAATGCAAAAATATATATAAAAACTAAATGAAATATTAATAATGAAAAATGTGCCGTTTTATTTATTATTTACATTTCCCCCTCTCTCTTCCGCAGGTGTCCTCACTCACACAATCACCAGATTCATCACCCAGCCCCATAGCCATTGCGCTCGGACAGGTCAATACGAGTGGTGGTGTGATAACGACGCCAATGAATGGTGGCAATGGTAGTGGTGGCGGCGGCGGCAGCGGCGGTGGAGGCACAGGTGGTGGTGGTGGTGGTGGCGGCAGTGGCAATGGTGTCAATGCCGGTGCCAATAATAATAATAATAGCAACAACACCAGCGATGGACTCAACCGCAGTAGCAGTGGCAATTGTCATGACACTGGAACTGGATCTCTGCAGAATGCGTCCGAATCGAAATTGTGGTATGCAAATCATGCTATAATGATCTCTTTAATGTTGTGTGTTTGCATAAAAACTTCATAATTTCATATCTTTCTATCATATACATATGCAATATCTCCATTTACTTAACTTGATTGAGCGGTGATAGGACGATTTTTATTAAANTTATTTTATTTTATTTTATTTTATTTTATTTTATTTTATTTTATTTTATTTATTTTATTTTATTTTAATTTATTTTCTTTTCTGAGGTTTCTTAAAAAACGGTGCCTCTCATTGCATTTTATAGAAGAACTCATAAATATATTATGTATATTTCTGTCAATTTTTAATGAAGAAAAAATTTTATACTGATTTTATTTTATTTTGTTATTTTTCTAGCTTCGACTCTGGTACACATCCTTCAAGCACAGCTGACTCCATCATAGAGCCACTGAGGTGAGTTCAAATTAAATTCTTCAAAATACATGATTTTAATCCATTTCTCTCTTCTTAACTCCCATGCACAGAGTGTCACCAATGATACGTGATTTTGTGCAATCGATAGACGATCGAGAATGGCAGACGCAACTCTTTGCATTGCTACAAAAACAATCCTATAATCAAGTGGAAGTTGATCTCTTCGAGCTAATGTGCAAAGTGTTGGATCAGAATTTGTTCTCACAAGTGGATTGGGCAAGAAACACCGTCTTCTTCAAAGATCTTAAGGTGAGTGTGCATACTCGTATGTATATTTGTTGTAAAAAAATTTTTGTCAAGCTAAACTAAGTAAATGAGCGCAAAGAAATCGTGTAAAAAAGAGTTAGGAAAACAAAAAAAGGTCGCTTAAAAAATCCAAAATGTTGCTTAAAATAGACGCCATTAAGTGCACAGCTCAAGCGCCAAAAGCTCATACGTAATCCACGGTCAATTTGTTGTTGGTAGCTCATACATAATTTTTTATTTTATTTTATTTTTTATTTTATTTTTTATTCCAACATATTGATGTATGTGTAATTTCGTATGTTGCGTTGATTTTTATTTTTTTTTATTTTTTATATATATTTATTTGCGTTTGTGATTTTTATAAGCGCGCGCCGCTGCGACGATTATGTAAACTGACAAGCTCACAGGTCAGAGGCTGAAGGCTGAAGGCGGAGGGTGATGGTGATGGCGATGGTGATGGCGATGGTATAGTTGGTGTTGTAAGGGACGCTAGTTAACAACAGTAACAACAACGCATAAGCAGTAAGGCTAACTCAAAAGCAGCTAAAAAATAAAACCAGTAAAATGACAACAACAACAATTACTGCTGAGCTCAAATCTGAATTCAGTTTCGATTTCGTTTGCTCGCTCATGTTGGCTGGTTGACGCTGTTGTGACTGCTGCTGCTGCTGCTGCTGCTTATAGCTTGTTGTTGTTGTTATTATTATTCTTTTTGTTGGCTTTTGTTGCTTGCTGCTTATTGCTTGTTGCTTGACTCGCTCGCTGACTGACTGATTGCTTGGCTGACCTACTTACCAACCAAAGCTGAACGAAGTGAACTGAACATACATACATATAAACACACACCTTTATGCAAGCCATTCACACACAGTTGTATCTCCATAGTCGTCAGTCAATTCACGCTCATGATGCAACAACACATTGCACAAAGGTTTCACCAATACAACTACGCAACAACGCGACGCGCTATGTCCAAGTCATTTTGTTGCGCTCATTTGTCCATTTGTAAATGTATGCATACTTTTTATATACATATGTACATATTTTTTTTTATTAAAAATTTCATATGTATTAGTGTGCGCGCGCATACATTCATACACAAACGCAACAAAATGCGGCCATATCTCCAAAGTTGAGCTGGTAGAGCTGAGATGCCTGTGATTGCGTTGAATATTGAAGATGGCGTTAAGCTGAGCTGTCGTTGATGTAGCATGTGTTGAACGCGTACGCATTAAGCGCGCTCTGCATGAAACTCGTTTCTAAATCTTACGCTGTTTAAGGTAGTAAGACCCCAAATTGGGAATTTTTTGTGTGCTCAAGCTTTTTCTGCTGCTCCGACTGCCGCTGCTGCTGCTTCTGCTGCACAGCAGTTGTTAGCTTCGCTCAACTCAGAACAGTTGAAAGCTTTATTTGAAATTCAGAATTAAAGCTGAGCCTAAAATCTACAAGAAAATGTTAGGTAATCCTATATGGAAGGAGTGTTCTAAGAGCTTTACAATCTCGACACTGAAGCAATATAGTTGAAGAAAGAAAATTTCAGCATAATTTAAACTCTATAACTAGAGGTTTTTGTTGCAAGAAGTGTTTACAAGACGCCAAACCCCAAAGGGAGGCACTTAAGGCTGTACTCAAGTTGAGCACACCACTCGATACGACAAAAGCTCTGTCTTATTAGATGCGCTACGGGCTAAGATTTTTTAGACATCCGCATAATTATTTGATCTGGCTCGTAAGGTGTGCCCATGTATCTAGCACCTAAGTACATGCGCTTGTGAATATATGATTAGCTCTACGTGGCATTGACTCATTTACCATAGTTTGTCCCTCAGACAGACAGACAAAAGCTCTCATGGAATATACATTTCTTTCAGCAAAAATATTTAAATAACTTAAGCCTTCAAATCGCCGTAAGGGCCACTTAATTGTTATGAACACAAACTCATTACGCAGGGTATCTATGTTACTTAATTTATGTAGTATCTTTTAGGCGCTATTCAACAACTTAGCTTAGTTTGCATTGAAAATTGAAAAAAGGCAACATTTGAAAACTATTTTGTGCANCGATCATCTACATCAGCGAATACACAACGGACTACCCGATGAGACGCATTTGAATAACGGACAAGTATTCAATCTGCTCTGGCTGGGTCTTTTGGGTGTACCACAATTGTCTGATTACTTCAATGAGTTGCAAAATCGCTTACAGGATCTAAAATTCGATATGGGCGATTATGTGTGTATGAAATTCCTAATTCTACTCAATCCAGGTGAGAAAAAATAAATGAAAACAAATGTATTGAAGTATATATATTGGAAAATAATAGATTATGACTCCTAATAATTATAATTATTATATAATTTTAACAATTTTATCCACTCAGAAGTACGTGGCATTGTTAACAAGAAGACGGTCTTAGAGGGACAAGAGAATGTACAAGCAGCGCTGCTGGACTATACGCTAACCTGCTATCCATCAGTGACGGTATATTATTTTGCTATTATTATTAAAAAAAATAAAAAAAAATAAAATAAAGTAAAATTAACAATATTTAATGTAATTTGGGGTTTCTTTTGTTTACTACAAATTTCAAAATTTCAGGATAAATTTCGGCGACTGCTTAGCATACTGCCCGATATACATGCAATGGCTTCGCGGGGCGAAGATCATCTCTATTCAAAACACTGCGCCGGTAGTGCGCCCACCCAGACGCTACTCATGGAAATGTTACATGCAAAACGAAAAGTATAAATAGGATATAAATGTAAAGGTTACAAAATGTAATAATATTGCAAAATATTGTATGTAGATATGTATGTATGTTGTAAGAGAGTAAGGCGATGAAAGCGCTTCAAATGCGACAGGTGACAATTTTTTGGTTGAAGTTGTCGCATGACGCGAAATAAAATCCAGGGTTGGTTATTAGATTTATAAAGATTTAAATAAAAAGGAAAAGCAAATAGTAACAGTTATGCAGATATTGAGATATTAAGATACAAATGAACATATACATATATATTTACATAAAAACAAAACTAATTTAGTAGCACTTGGAGATTTTACGTTCTTCTGTTTTCAAATGACACATTGCAATTTAAATACAGCAAAGCAGAATGCGAAAATGCAAGAAAAAATGAGAAAAAAGTGTAAAAACGTAAAACGAACGAGCGATAAGAGATACATAATGTGTATGTAAAAAAAAAATGTATGCTGCAAGTGTTTAAAATTAAAGTTAAGGCAGATTTAGGCAGAGAAATACAATTGAGAAAAATATATTTTTAAAATGGATATATATGTATATTGATATAGCTTAAGTGTTTATTCATAATAAATATTAATGTATGATTATTAATTATTATTAAATATATATATATATACGTATATGTAATTGTATGTAACTGTAAAAAACAAAAAGCAACACAGCAAACAATGTGTTCGAAAAATATCTTTTAAAATGTAAGGCATTAAAACAAAAAACAAAAACAAAAAACAACATATACCTTCTATGCATAATTGTAATAAGAAAAAACAACAACAATAATAAAAAGAAAAAATACAAACATTGCAAATTGTTCATTAAAAATTCTACATAAACTAAAAAAACAAACTAAGGCATAATTAAAAATAAGAAATAAATAATTAAAAAAGCAAAGCAAAAAATAAAAAAAAAAACAATAATTATGAAAATGCAAAATATTTGCTAAACCTTATCTAAGAGTAGTATATTGTGTGTGTTGTGTAAGTGTTTAAAAAAATTTAAATTAATTGTAATATTTAAACCCACGTCTTACTTAGTACTCGTATATGTATGCTTTCAATGTGTTGAAAAACATTTTTTTTTTTAGAAAAGAAAAAACAATTTCTTGCAACAAATAATTATTTCTCAAAGCTTTCTTAAAAAACAAAATTGGCCTTAATTCTTAGGTAGTAAGAAGAAATTTCAAAATTAGTGACTAACAAACGCTTTATACAATTAAAAAATTCAAACGCCCGAATTGTTTTTTTTTAGATTTTTTTTTTAATTAATAATTTTCTTCTACACTACACAAATTCCACTGATTGGCTAATTAGTGGGTTGCTAAAAATTTTCTTAAAAATAAATGCAACCACACACATATATACACACACACACAACACTTTTAGAAATTCAAAAATTATGTAATACAAAAAATAAATATAAAACAGTTTGCTGCTTATAAATGTGTAAATAAAGTTAACTACCTGATTTTTTCGAAAACTAATTAAATTAAAATTAAAAAGAAATAAAAAAAATAAAATATAAAATACATTTAAGCAACTCAGTACACAAAACTATGTATGTAAAAATGTAATTTTAAAATTAAAAAAAAAAAATTAGGAATAACAAACTATACATACATAAATGCATATTCGCCAAACATGTATGTATGTGTGTTGTATGTATGTAAATATAATTCTGTACTAAACTTTTTTTTTTGTTGTTAATTGATATGATTAATGTTAAATAGTGTTCTAATGTTATTCAATTGTTATAATTATAATGTATTAAATGTATATAGATACTATATACAAGTACCTACCTACACATATATATATATATATATATATGTAACTATGTATGTGGTGTATGTATGTATGAAACTAGGCTTTATCTATCGTTTTAAGTAGTTTTTTACAAGCAATTCTTATTTTTATTTTCAATTATTTTTCTGTTCTCACGAAAAACGTTTTGTTATTGTTGTTTTTCTTCAACTTTCACTATCATTTTTATAAAATATACGTATACACTGAAAAAAAAAAAAACAAAAATACAACCGTTTCTCTTGTTTTTAATATAAACAATTATAATTCTCGGCTATAAATGCGTAAGCGGTGCTTGCGCCATCAGAAGAGTAGAAGAATAATTATGATTTGCATGCAAATTTTTCATTTTTTGTGTATTTTAGCTTAAGTTTATCATCCACAACTTAAAAAGGGAAGCAATTATAATATAAAAAAGTATATAAAAATGTAACGAAGTAATCCAAAACTTTTTTAGCTAGCAAACTTTGCAACTTTTTTCCTGCTAACTTTTTGTGTTGGTAAAAAAGGAAAATTTACAAAAAACGAAAATTAACAATTGATATGTTCAATGTGTCTTACTTATGATTCTTGAACGGCATATTTTGCTCTTAGATTAAAATTATGCCTACAAGTACACCATTATAACTTGTTGTATATATGTTCGTATGTGTGATAACAATTTTTAAATAAATGTTTTTTTTTAATTTTTTCTGTTTTGATATTTGCATTTCTTATCTTTGTCTAACATTACTGATGTTTTTTTTTTGTTATTTTTTGACAAATTTTTCTACCTTTCGAATATAATTTTAATTTTCTTTTTAATTTTTATTATTTTTCTTTAATATTTTTTTACATTACGATTTTTGTACTTATTTTTAAACATTTTTTAAAGCTCTTCATTTATTTTTTTTTTTTTTGTAGTTATTCCATTTTACTGGTAATTTTTTGTTAATTGTTCACAATAAAATTTTTTATAACTTTTGTTATCTTTTTTTTAATTTTTTTTCTTCATTCCTTACAAATAATTCGTTCTTTATATTACAATATCATTGCATACATACTTAAATATATACGAAACAATATTTGAATAAAAGATTGAAATTATAAAAAATGAAGTAAAAATTTTTAAAAAAAATAATAATTTAAATTTAAACGAAAAAGAAAAATATTGTTGTTAATGCTAAAGAAAGAGCAACATACACCCCACTGCTATTATACTTACTGGTCTAAGTGTAACTAACTCGGCTACATACATATTAATATAAACAATTATAATTCTCGGCTATAAATGCGTAAGCGGTGTCTGCGCCATCAGAAGAGTAGAAGAATAATTATGATTTGCATGCAAATTTTTCATTTTTTGTGTATTTTAGCTTAAGTTTATCATCCACAACTTAAAAAGGGAAGCAATTATAATATAAAAAAGTATATAAAAGTGTAACTAAGTGATCCAAAACTTTTTTAGCTAGCAAACTTTGCAACTTTTTTCCTGCTAACTTTTTGTGTTGGTAAAAAAGGAAAATTTACAAAAAACGAAAATTAACAATTGATATGTTCAATGTGTCTTACTTATGATTCTTGAACGGCATATTTTGCTCTTAGATTAAAATTATGCCTACAAGTACACCATTATAACTTGTTGTATATATGTTCGTATGTGTGATAACAATTTTTAANAATATCAAATAATTTTCAAAAATCAAATATAAAAAAATTAAATAAAATATAATAAAATAAATTTAGATTAGATCGAATAAGAATTAAATTCAATTTCAAAACAACTATTTCGCTTATTTTAACTTTTTCAAAGTATTATCATTAATTTTTAATTGAGGAAGATCAGTGGATATTTTTAAACTGAAAATGGCTTATCATTTTTTTTCAATGCTCAATAGCCGTATATATTTTTTACTAATTTACATCATTCAAAAAAAAAATACAATAAAATTATAAAAAAACGAAATTAACAAAATATAAAACGAAATAAATTTAAATAAATTTTTAAATAAAAAATTAAAAGAAATAAAAATTTGAATGAATTTAAAAATAAGAATAAAGCAGAATTCCTTAAAGGTATAAATTTACAGTAAAATATTTTTTTCAAGAGTTTACCTAAATAAATTACAAAAATGTAAAATACTTCAACTAAAATTTTTTTACTACATAATTTTACAATTATTTCCTCTTTCAGGCTTTTTTACAACTCCTTTTGATTAAAAAAAAAGTAAAATATTAATTTTTAAAAATTAAGATCTTACAAAAATTACAAAATCAATAAATATATTTAGATTTTGAATATTCAAAACTTTTCCATGTTTTGAAAATTTTTTCGTTTTTTTCTTTAAAATTTTTAATTTAATTCAAACTGTCAAATTTTTTTATTTACTTTAATTTTTCTCCCAGCTTCTAATTTGTCAATACTTTCCACACTCCACTTTTTATGTGTGCGAAAGAGCAAGCAAAACAACAAGTTGTTCGTATTGTAGGTGATAAGCGTAGGGAAAAACGAACGAAGGGTAACAACAACAACAAAAGTAACAAAAAGTAGTTCAGTTAGTAAGATATTTAAAGCAAATACAGTAATAAAGTTATAATGATAATGTAAATGAATGTATGTATGTATGTAAGTGAAAAGATTTAGGGTATGACTCACCAATTTGTCGTGGGCGTGTCGATAGATTCTTATTAAAATTGTTTATAAGAAAAATACAAAAAAATTCTAAACACGACACGCCTCAATATGATTAATGCACTGTTGCAAATATAGTATGAGTGAAGAGATATACATATGTATGAGAATGACTGGTTAAGTTGTAGGTATGTGTATGTACATATATATGATATGGTTGATATATGTGCAGTAGCAATTTGCAAAAAAAAAGGATGTTTTTTTTTAAAACATATGAATTAAGCAAACAGTAAGGGGGTTAAATTATATACATATATACCCAACAACAACAACAATAAAAAGTAAATGTAAATATAGAGAATTAGAAGCGCGCGAAAAAAAGTAAAAATATGTATATATGTATGTATTAAAAATTATATGTATAAAAGAAATAAAAATATATAAATTCAAATATATTAAAAAAAAAAGAAGAAAAAAAATATATATATATGTTGTATATGTATAATTAACATTATTAAAAAAAAAATAACAATAAAACAAAAAAAAAAAAACAAACTACAAAATAGGCATTGTTGAACACCGTGTAACGAAATGAAAAATGTGAACCTGTTGAAAAAAAGTGATTTTAAATATAAGTAAAAATATGAAAAAAAAACTTTNATGTGATTAGTACCTTCTTAAATCGATGTTTGTTGGCTACCCAGAGGACATTAGTTCTAAGACCGGAAGTCGTGTGCTGCTTGAACCATATGTTAACGTATCATAGTCCCAGATGAATGTTAGTCTGCAACTCTCCACACATATCGTCATCCTCCCAAACGGGGCATGATCGTCGTAAAACGGACAGCCGTTGGCCGGATTACATTCGGATGGGTTGATTATCGTGAGAGTCTATAATCTCAAAAGCTGTTAACTGCCCTATATTTGCGTGTTTTGCGTGTGGCCAAGGCATTGATAACCGTTGTTTGAGAGTAAACTGCCTTTACTCCGCAAGCGACTGCGATTGCCACTAAAGTAAAGAGCCGCAACAAAATGCTCAAGCTGCTAGCCAACAGCGCTTTGGAGAGATGGATAAATGTTGTTCGCAAATATCCAAGGCAATCAGCTGGGTGGTCTGGAAAAACCGCCTTAAGGTCCGTGACGGAAAACCATTTTATGTCTCCTATTCACCATATATATATGCTCCAAGTTAAGGAGCATAATGTTATATTTACTATAGAAGCAGTATCTGTTGAGATGTTAACGAAGAGACCATCCTAGCATACGCTTAACGGGAGCTGAACCGGCATTTGGGCTCATCAGGAAGAATGTACCCACTTATAGGACTGAAATCAGCACCATGGAATCGGACTGCAGGAGAGACCGCCATACGGACAGGGTCTAAACTCATTTCACAGAGTGCCACAGTTAACACTTTCATAAACTCTCTTCCAGCGAATGGCTGAAAGAGATGGATTTCGAAGTGATAATGGCACAATTAAGATCTAAATATTGTAGTCGACACAACTTCTACTTATCCAGACTTAACCTCAGAACAAGCCTAAAACATTTATCTCCGGCATGCAAGTGGTGTCGACATCAAGCACGGCCCCTAAACTAAATTTAGCTAACACCCCTCTCCCTCTGGTCCGAATCCGGCAAAACAGCTTGTTCTCTGGACCTTCCGTTGCAGATTATTTCGACGTCAAGAACAATTTTTTTTAACAGTTGAAGGACTTATTACAATAGGTCGCAAGACCATCCATGAGTCCTACTTGTTGACTGGAGCGAAAACTCTAGGAGCGGCTTCCAAAACGGAGTGGATAGAAACATATGGGACTTAACCACTGAAAACACAGCATGCGTATACAAAGAACAAATCAGTAGACAAAGCATATGGTGAGGAAGATAAAATGCGATAAGAAGCCGGGTTATACTCGTATATACTCGCCTCTCCTTTTAACTCTCATTACTGGCAATGCTAGAGGGAGGAGTAGATATTCTTTCGACCAAGGTGGGTAACATTTCGGTTATCGTTAGCGATAACTGTTCCGCATCCATTGGCTCCCATTCAAATCAGGCACTTAGAACAAAAAGATAGCTGCGCTGGCTCAGTGGGACTAAATGTGGACACCGGTTAAAGAAAGTATTTAACAGAAGACACAAAGCACTAAGTATTTTTGAATTGTAAAGGATAGCAAGTTGTGGGGGAGCAAGGGAGAAGGTCATCAGCAACCCTGCAAAGGATAAAAGGCTGCCCTTGGGTAATCTCACGTTTGCTCTAGCTCTGGATTTTCGTAGGGATTGTTAAACCAATACTTTTCTATGGAGCTATAGAGAAGGATCTGTATCTGTTAAGGTAAGGAAAGAGAACGTAAAGAGTCTTTCGACTTTCGATGGCCATAATTATTAGAGCCATTGAAAAAAATACGAAGAAGAAGGCGCTACAGTGTACTGCGTCCAACCAGAAATAAAACTATTATGGCGAATCGTCGAATCGCTATCAGAGAACTACAGCTGAACTTCGATCGAAAAACCGTACCGTCGAAACTCTCAAGCGCCAGATGTGAAACGAGTTTTCTGTAGTTCTTTGAAACAAAGGCAGAGATTTTTGGTGATAGTAGCTGTTCCTACCGTCCGGTACCATTCCTCCCACACTGCTTTTCTTGTTTTCCTGCTTAAAAGTCCGCAATATCGTAATGGGAAGGTAGAATTCTGGAAGTCTTTAGTATGGTAAATGGTAGGGAATGTTTTAGTGTTGTGAGCTCCCGAGAAGAAAGGGTACATAGAATCCATAAGGGTGACAAGTGTTTATTAAGTACGTTTCTAAAGTTTAGGGTGGCTATGTTGATGTGCCCGGGTATTTAGATTTCATAAAATCTGAGGGAGTATGACGTCTTCTTTGATAAAATGGAAGTGCTTACCTGATGCCGCCTTCTGCTAAAAAGGCTCAATTGAGAAGATGATATATGCCAAGGAATAACAAGCTGAATATTGTATCCAATGAGCAAGATTGCATGCTTAAACGAAACCTTTGAAGATCACCATGAAACGAATAGGTTTAGAGACTTAAGCTCTCCGTCCATTCGGTACGCTTATACGAGATGTGATAACTAAGTAATGAGAGTGATTCTAGAAAAACCTTATATTTCAAAATTATTCTATGACTTTGCCATCCCCTTCAAATTAGTCCCCTTGGGCAGCTATACAACGATTCCAGCGCGTTTTCCATGCTTCGTAATATTTCTGGAACGTTTGGACTGTGGTAACCGCGAGTACCCTCGTCATGGCCGCAGTTACCAGCGATGTCTGGCTGGTTGACACTTTTTCGCAATCTTTTGAGTAATAGGCGGTAGTAGACTTGATTTACGGTTTGACCCGGTGGAAGAAATTCTCTGGGGACGATTCCTCGGCTATCGAAGAGGACACGACAAGCTAACTAAACATACAAGAGCGATGGCAAATATATCAATGGAGAGAGAGGAGAAGGATGCCTAGAAGGATGTTCATTACTTAATTTTCACACCTCGTATCTAGTGATCTTATAGCCCCCTTGGGTCAAAGACAAGGTACGTATGGAAGGTGATGAGTGGCAATATCACTGAGAACTCTGCCTGCTGACGTCGAACGATGTATGCATTTTCCCTTTAATTCCTTTTGGGGACAGCGCACGCGGTTCTTTCTCTGACAAACAAACTCTGATCTATGCAAGGCTTGCCAAAAGCCTGTATCGTCACTAAGATCTTCTCATCTTTCGATTTCTGCATGCATTCATGTTGATTACCCCAGACATGAGACCTTACAAAGTCTGAATTGTTAATGTACTGACTCCGAACTACCCTCTTGAATGCCATAAGTATTTTTCGTTTGATCCGACGCTGGCAAAGTGCTTCAGTATTGCACCTGGGCCATTAAGCCCTTCTTAATACCACCTTGTTACAGGCGCTTAAATTCAACTCAAAATCTGTTTAGCTGTAGATACTGTTAAGGAGGAAAACGTTGGAGGCCAGATCTCGAGCTTAAAGCAGATGCTGTAAAACAGACTCACCTTGAACTAAATTGAAATTTCCGATTTTACAAAGTTCAGTTGTCTAGTTAAGTGTTTATTTATTAACATGAATTCTTATAAAAAACATATTTTGTCAATCAACAAAACAATAGTCAGTTTTGTGATACTTTTGTCTAACAAAAATATTCTATACTCCCCCAATTCGAGCTCGATACGCCAGCCGAGTGTTCAGCCATTGCAGCGCACGCTCAACTCCGTTGTACAAACCGTACTTTATACGGTTTCGGTGTCAGAGTAATGCCCGGCTGCAGTACCACGGACGGCAAGTCCTCCTCGCACAACTCAATGCGAAAACGATGCACGATCTTTGAGAGGAACGAGAATAGACAGGCACGCGCTAAAGCGTCACCCAAACAGCGACGACGTCCCTGACCGAATGGCATGAAGTATTCATCGCGAAAGATCTTGCCATCGGCGTCAATAAAACGCTCCGGCCGGAAACACTCCGGATCGCCCCAATGAGCTTTGTCCATATGCACCGTACGCAAACCAATCAATACCGTTGTATTTTTCGGTATATTATAACCGCCGAGTGTAGTGTTGCGCAGCGCACGTCTCGGACCGGTGACAGGTGTGATGTGGAAGTAACGTTGCACTTCCATAATGAAAGCGTTCGTGTAGGGGAAGTATTCTCGATTACAAAGGTTGAGCGGAATTTTACTTTTCACCAAATTATCATTGATTTCGTCATAGACCCGCTGCTGCACCTCACGATTTAACGCCAACATCATTAAAGCCAAGTCGGTGGTATTGCTGGTGGTTTGGGAGCCCGCAATGAAGAAATCCAGTATGGTCATTGTCAATTGGGTTTCACTAAAAGTGCTATTCTCCGCTTCGTCACTGCGCTCATTCATCTCACGTATATACGCATAGATGAGATCACTCTCCGCATTCTCTTTTGTAATACTCGCACGATGCTCATTAATCGCCTCCAAAAAGAACGCGTGCATCTCCTGATTCATTTGACAAATCAAATTGTAACCAGTCCAATTGGGCGCGAAATAACGCAACCAAGGCATTTGCGACAAGACGCCACCACAGATGTCGAAAACTTTGGAGCGCCGATTTAGTAATTCCAGCAATTTTTGCAAACGTTTATCGCCACGTCCAATGCCCCTGCCGGCTGTCAGTGTCCATAGTACATTGAGTACGCTGGGCGCCAGAAATGAGCCCGGCCAGACGGGTTCCTCCTTCAGTTCATCAATATAGCTAAGCAAACTGCCCGCCTCCTTCTCAATGTACTGTTCCATTTCAGTACGCCCGTAGCCGACGTGTCGCATCTGACGCATAGCAAAACTACGATGTTCCTGCCATAGTTGGCCATCCGTACACGTGATGCCCTTGCGTGTGCCCATTGTGCGCAGGCGTAGGAAGAAATTATCCGGCCTTGCATCGTACACTTCACTTAAGTGCACTTCGTGTACGAGTGGATAGGACAGCGCGACGACCACATACTCATTGCCCAATTTGAGACCCAAGATGTTGCTGTTGTACTCCTTCGACCACTTTTCAAATACCAAATGTTGACCACCGCTGGCGCGTGCCTCCTTGCGCAATTGTATTGTGTTGCCCACCCATGGCATAAAATCGGGTCCTGAAATTAGAAAAGCAGAGGGTTCAATAAACAGTGGTAGAGAGTTGTGTTCGAATTTACTGAAATAAAAAAAAATAAGTTCGCACTACTCGTTTGCCAGTTAGTGTCTAGGGCTTCGGTTTAACTAATCTCAGAACTTTTTTTTATATAGTCTCAGCGCGCCTACTTGATAACGTCAAATGTGCGTACCCTTATCGACTCCCTTATCGACTCCCTTCTTATCTTTGATTTACGAGTCACTTTTGATTTCGCATCAAAGTTGCTATTTCATCAAACTACCGTTGAATGCTGGTCGTTCCCTTAGATATAAATAAAAATGTGTGCGAAAAGCAAAACATGTATTCTTCTTCTTCTTTTTCTTTAGTGGCGTTATTGGCGTATTGCTCTTATCGTATTAAGTTAGGTTAGATTATACTGACTTTCTTTTACATCTTGCAAAGACCTTTTGGTCCTTTGTAGTGCGAGATCGAGCTTGGAATCAATTCGAGTTAAGGTAATCGCTCGGGTTCACTCGTGGTGTCCTACCCACCTCAAAAAAGGTTATAGAAAATTTATTTAAACAAAAAAATAAATTGAATTTTATGATTGTGGTCGCCCCTTTGCGGGGAATGTCAACCCGACCGAGTGTATTTTTGACATGAAATAAAAATCTCATCGTAAAAATTCTTTGGCCATTCCGGGGCGACTTAGTATAAACTGTAGGTCCCTCCATTTGTTGGAAAAACATCAAGAGGCAAAACCCCACATTGGAAAAGGAGCTCGGCCGAAAATCGCTTCAGCGGTTACAAAGCACCCCATATATATATATATAAAGTAGCCGCCGACTTTTTATGAAGTTTAAGATGACCTTTTTATGCAATTCTGACCCTCCCCATAGTACTTTGAACTGCGAAGTTAATAGATGTCTAAGTCCAGTTCTAGATATCTACGTACAGTAGTCTAGGAGGTGTACCAATGGCTTACTCATGTTTTCCTCCTTGCACTTCCTACATATGTCACTGCTACTAATAACCATTCTACCCGCGAGATATGTTCCACAGTCCACGCATTAGTGGTGACGAAAGACGCTGTATGACATGCTGATATGCACGTATGTAGCTCTTCGAATTAAGACATAGCGGCCATGTGGACCAGGTCATGTTATCTCTGTGAAGGTGAAAATTTTTTGAAAGATCAAAAAGAGAGTTTGAGGGGACCTAAATACACTCTTTGCATCCAAATAGCTCCAAATAATTCTCGTTAACTCAGCGATGGAAAAAATTAACGGACATTCATCCTGGCTCTCGGTAAGAAGTCGGTGTAGACGGCAATCGATGATATACTCCTTCGGCAGGAGTTTTGTTTCCGCTTCCATTGATAGTGAACTTCAGTAAAATACTATTAGAACTAAACAACGAAAAAGCGAACTGAAAGTGGAAGTTCTATGGAATTATGAAAGATCGCATGCTACGCACTGAATGTTAGTAACATAACAAGCAAGTAAGCTTCTTATTTTACGACGAACGCAGTGTTATTCACCTCCCGGCCATGAGACCATGAGACGCGTCTGAGGGAAAATCGACAACTCCCACAGACCGGTGACCGAAAACCAGTAACCGTCCGAAGTGCCCTAAAGCCGAAACAGATCGCGGAAGGTCGCGGTTATACTTGCCTCTTACAGCTACAGATCTGTTCATCAGCTGCTATAATATTACATGGGAACAAGGAGAAAGAATTTACTCAATAAAAAAAATATCCCAATTTAAAATCATTTCAATTTGTGTTAGTAAGCAGAGGCAAGCCTCCCAAATGGCTTAAGTGCAGCCGCACGCTGTCAACTTTAAGAGGTGTAATGTTGGTGCCAGAGGCAATTTAGACGTAACGGTATCCAGAGAAAGCTCACAACGGCATACAGTAAATCAGACAATTTATTCTCAATAGTTGCTTTCAGGTTAGTATACTTTCCATACCAGATTCTGTTGTAAGGAATGACGTTACTATCTGAATTCACGGCGAATCCAAAAGGTAATGCAGGGTGAGTGCATTGGTATGTTTCCAAAACTTGATTTCCAAATTCTCGTTTTACGTCCAACAAACTGGGAGAATAAAGAAAGCAATAATATATTCGGTAGAATAGTCCACATTGCCCTTGCATTAGAATCTTCACAAACGCTTACAATTGTGGGCACGACTCTAGCGAAATAGCTCGACTACTTTCTCAAGCCAAGAGCATTTCCTGCTGAAAGCGAAACGGGCCTTATAAATGAGGGACGTATTTCTTCGATCCCAGAGATCGCAATAAAATTACTTGCTGCTTCAGTGAAAGAGTTTGGCCGACCTACTCGGGGCTCGTCCTCAACGGAACAGTGTCTGGTCTGCTACCTTTGGAACCACTTTGAATTAGTCTCTAAAGACGTTGTAATCGTTTCATATGCAATTTGGAATGCACTGAATATTTATATTAGCTGTAAATTACGCCGAAACCCGAAGAGAATCAAATGACGAAATTCCGTTTGCGTTGGAGGTGGAGTTTCGTCTGAACTAACCTCAGCTAACTTGCGTTTTCTCGTCGTTATTTTAGCCGATTATTCTTCAATGAGAATGGAAGACTAATAAAGTAATTGCCAAGGATTTGTTATTTTTAGATTTAACAAAAACAAATTGAAAGTCACCAACTGACCCTTGTAAAAGTATACTGGAGTTGGCAATTTGAAGGAGTCTGGTAAAGAAGCAAATCCACATTTAATATAAGTACTTTCAATCAAAACTAAAATATTTTAAACGCAGAGACTGAGGTTCTCTACAGTAGTTATTTCGATAGTTTATACCTTGGTCTATCCCAGATATCACCAGAAAGCTCACCGGTAACTCGGTCGACTGGAACTTACCTGTTCATTTCTACTAGTTCACTACTGGTCCCTGAAGGATGATTTCTGATTTCTCGCTCACCTTTTAACAAAGACCGAGAATTAGAGCTATTTTGCTCGTCTTTAACTGCAGATGCCAATAACCGAACTTAAGTATATTGAGCAAGCGGGTTGAAAGCAGCATGGCTCCCCTATGTCGTAAGCTCCATGGCCATCTCGATAAGATTTTACAACCAAGTTCAGCGAGAGTTCAAACTTAGATTGGCAGCCGATGCAACATATCGGAAAATTCATATTTGGGTCTTGTACAAGGTAGCACTAACAGCCGTCTTTTAGTTCCAAATAAAGTTAAGATTCTACACCAACATCATTAGTATTCTCCAACTTGTCAAGAGTCCGTGCTACTATGGGAAGATCTAAGAGTTATCAAAGTCAAACCTTTGAATAGATATCAGTAGATTTCTGTGAGGGTATGATCTAAAATGCCTTACAAACCAGTCTTACGGATATGTGGAGGCAAGTGTAGAAGAAAATCTGTAAGTAAACTTCTTCTAAAATTTCATTTTGCTTATTTATGAGAGCTTACGGATTTTCGCAACCCCTTCCCATCATCCCCAGAGAATGAAATAGATATGAGTTGGACAAAGACACAGAGAACCGTATATAACAGATTATCGAGGTGAACGTTGTGTCCTTTCCTGCAGACTCCGACTACCAGATCGCCGCAGTACTTTTCAATCAGAATAACAAATGGTCCACTCATGCTGACCATTGAAATTTAAAAGGAATGAATTATAAAACCTTTTTTTTTTGGCAGACCCGCCAATAAACTTGAGTTGCCATAAAATGATGACTGTAGAAGCTCCACAATGGGCCACCCATATGGCTATGTGTCTCGTCAGACAACCACTTCACCTACTTTTACCGTTCTACAGTATTTTCAGTAGAAATTTGTATAGGGAGAACACAAAATAAGACCCGTCACGAGACCTTGAGTCATTTTACTCTGTTAAGGTTAACAGACCGATTGATTTCCGATTTTTCTAGTTTCATGTTTGAGCCACACCTTGTTATTTGAAGTTAGATCCCATTTGGATGTAAGGCCACATGAAAACGACCGAATGACACCTCATTATAAAATAATTAAATGTTACGTGACTAAAAGTATGTAAATCCACTTGTAAATGTCTGAATTCAATCAACACCTGGTCGTCGCAGCAAAGTCTAACCAGAAATGGTTGCACGTCCTCAGACGGGCCTCTGTTTGACGGCTCAACTGATTATAATTGACAGGCTTTGGTGCGGTTTGGCGTGGCCGAGCGTGCGCGGAATTGAAATGCAGTGAGAAATACATACATATAAATACATAGAAAAGTCTCTTTCGAATGCGAGTCCCCAACAAATCAACAACGAATTGAATTCTAATTTCAAACATTTCAACATGGCGGGGGGAATAATGGGCTCGAATATTCATATTGGCGTTAGTAATGTGTTCACCACTCACCGGATATTTATTTATTTATTTCATATTTTTATAAATTCGATTTCGTATTCTCGCATAGAAAGGGTTATCCATTAAGTGGTTTCGAAAATAAACATAAATAAAATAATTTTTCTCTCATGAAATTCATATTTTTTTTATAAAGTTTAAACCTCGGCATTGTATTTGAAACTCTGAATCATTGAAATGATCGCCTCGCGAATTTTTCCAAAACTCGAACCCTTTTGAATTGATTTTCAACTACTTTTTGGTACACATTTGGCGGTATCTCAACCATAACTTGACGAATGTTGATTTAGAGGTGATCAAAAGTTAAATATTTATCCGATACAAAAGAAGTCAAACAGTGTCCAAGCGCACGATCTGAGTGGTCAATTGACATCGCCAAGACGAGAGATTAAGAAGCTGGGAAATTTCTCTATTTTTAAAGATATATTCGCTTGTTTTGTGTGACATATGGCAACATTATACTGAAACCACAAATTGTACCTGTCGTGCACTATAATTTCAATCCAAAAAAGTCGATTATCATACAGAAGAAGAAGAAACGACAGTTTTCTTTTCCCTACCTACGGACTAAAGAGCACATCAGATAGTAAATTTTTTTTTGGTGTAATGACCTCTCTTCAATAATTGGCGCAATTTTAAACCTC